CGTTGAGGCGCTGTCTCTTAGATGTGATATAAGAAGCAGGTTAGATGTGATATAAGAAGCAGGACTGGAGCATATTTGGCGAGGGACAGAATGTGATAACAGCTGATAAGGAGTGATTTCAAACGAGCAGGGAGGACGGAGGAGTTGCTGATGTTGTTATCAAGATGCGCGATGAGGAAACATACCATTTCATACGCGATTTCGTCGTTAGTATCGAAATCGAATCGACCGCTAATTTCCCCAAGCTTCTTAAGATGGTCGTTGTTCATGGAACACGATACTCTGTTAGATGCTTCTACTTCACTACCATCGCCACCAGAAATAATTCTTCTGCTAAACTCTATCAGCATCCGAAGCATGGTAGTTGTTTACGTTAATGGCTGACAGAATGTAACAGGGGTGGCCAAAAAAAGAGACACTTGACTCCACATTTCAGACAGCATTAATCACACTTTGCTAGAATCAAATCGACTGCCCCAACTCAGTATTGAAGAGCACCTTCTAATCTATCTAAACCTTACATGACAGCCTTCTACACCGACGACATCAGAAGATTTTCCCACGGAAACATGGTTCACGGTACGAGCTCAACGAGGTCGTCGAGGTACCATAGACCATTACGACGTCCCTGAAACGCTGGTCAAAAGCGGTTTTGCATAGTCACAGCTAATGTCTCTGGGAAGCTATTACAGTTAATCATTGAAGAAATTATGTAGCAGCTTCAGGCCGGAGCGATTACGGTAAGCCTCGTTGAGCTCGACGGTGGCGGCAGATGACGTCATATTCTGAAGACGGCGGGGCAGTGAAGGAGGGCCTGCTTCTGTTTACGGGGGAACACCTAAGGAATATTTCACCGTAAAACTTTCATTAACATCGGCACCCTGTGCGACGAAAAGTTCGATGATGTGCGCCATTAAGATCAGAATTTTTTATAAGAAAAAAAAGCTGAAATTGTTTGAGTTACAGCATAATAGAAGAGAGATGCAGCCCACATTTCTTGATTGAAATCAGGGTTTCCCTGGTAAATCCTATGGTCAATAGCAGTTTGGTTTTTAGCCCTAATTCCACAAAGCTTTCAGCTAACAACGGCTTCTTGATCTCCGTTTCTGATAGCGGTATCTCCGAAAGAAAAAGCGCCGTAGCTCCCGTCGCAAAAGGCTATTTCTCATCGCACGAAAGTGATCGACAGCGGTTCAAACCGGGATCGTCCTCATTGGCTAGCCACGCTCAGACTTCACTTCTGACCGCCCTCCAAAGCCGTGATCAACCTTCGCACCGTATAAAAGCGAAAAGCTCAGAGTTTCTGCACCTCCTGATGCTGGTCTCGTTTCCCCACTGCACCATTTCATCAATTATCTTTCAATGCACTACTTCTGAATAGCATTTATTGTAAATGCATGACATTTGCAATCCCATCAATTAATTTATTAAATTCACGAAAGAACGAATCGAAATTACCTTTTGTGACCTCTAACGCCTTCCCTTATTTTTGCACGCTTCCGCTTTGTTTTGTTTCACTCGTTGCCCTCCACACTGAAGGTATCAGGAATAAGTACTCGTTTCTGAGGTTCTCTTCGCCCACTATGCCCTTCACATGGGATCCAACTTGTTTCGAGATTCTCTGCATCATCAAATCAAAGGGTCAGATAGATACATTATGAGGCCATCCTAGAAAGCACATCAATAAATAACCTAGCCAATTAATTTTCACCAAAAGTGCCTGAAAGGATTTCTCTCTTCAAGCGTACTTCATAAGAAACCAGGAAATTTGGAAAAAGGACCACGAAACTTGCTTTTGTAAGCTTTCATCTGAGCAGTGACGACAATTGAAGAAGGAGCTATCTGAAATTGTAAAACGAAGTTTGCAAAGTGAAAAGAAAAATGACCGCAATAGTTTCCGCTGATTTCCGAATCATTCGATTGACCTCGAAGAGTGTCTGCCTGTGGTTTTGAGATGTCTAAGGAGATCCATGAAATTGGCTTCAAGTCCCAGAAATGATCTTACTTCATTGATTTCCAATTTCCTGAAAGTTCCCTATCTACCATGACAGCTGAGCCTTCTGCTTTACCTATTGGCCGCCATTTGTAACCCACCGAACGTTTTCGTAACCGTAGTACTTCTACATGCAAATTGCAGATGCTGCGATTACTGACGTCTCTGGGTTTGATAGCCCTAGTCGCCGCTATTCCTGTCGACAACGGGGTTGAAGGTGAACCAGAAATCGAATGTGGTCCAACATCAGTCACTGTGAATTTCAATACCAGGTAATGTTGTACTGTCTTGTATTCTGAAGCCTGAGTTTCAATGAGATCCAATCTTATGCTTTCAGAAACCCTTTCGAGGGTCACGTTTACGTGAAGGGGCTTTTCGACCACGACGAATGTCGTAACAACGATAGCGGACGCCAGGTACCCTATATAGCTAGTACTACTTACATTGCTCGGTTTGGGCAACAAAAGCATGCTGATTGGCCCGCACATCATCACAATACGGGACTATGCATGGGTGACGGGGTTAAAACAAACAGGATCAACCTCGTATGGGTTTTTACCGCTCGGAAATGAAGGTGGGATGCAATGCGTTATGAGCGAAAACTGGTAAAAGGAAAATGCCCTAGGAAAAAAGCTTGTTTTGCTAGGCTCTGAAGAGCACAGGAGGCATACGGCGAGATAAGAGATACTGACTGCCGTGTAGAGGGAAAAGAGTGCGTGACGAGAGAGCATGGGTAAGAGCGAGAGCGGAGTTGATTTACGGCATCACTTCCTGAACGGAACTACGGGCATGGGATGGAGCTACACGTGACCTCTAACGCATTATAGCCCTTGCTTGGCAACTTTGTGACGCGAATTCAGTAGAGCCCATGTGCTCGCCAATTTGTGCCTTCATGAATGTAAGATCGCTCGAAGCAAAAAGGAAAGACAAGGTCGAGCCCAGACTTGCACTTGATCGTGATAGCTTTGTCAAAAGCGAGGGTACAGGATTCCCTTATAGATCCTAGCAGGGTAATCCGATTTTGAAGATGTGCTTGCGATACTGTTGCTGAGTAATATCACTCAGTAAGAAATGTGTGAAGTGGACTGAAAGAAAAAGAAAGCCAAAGATACCGTAGAAACACAAAACTGATGGCTCAAACATCTGCAAGGTTGACTCGTATTAGGATAGAAACCGCAGAAAAGCGAGAATACGCTAAAGAGCACGGAATACGAAAGGAAACAGATACACGGCCGCTGCATAGCGAGCGACAGTCCACCACTTGTAGGACCTACAGATCGGGAGCAAGACAAGGCCCTGGCGCCTTACAAGGGAGGTCTTTCAGGGCAAGGTGCGCTTTTTCAAAACGGTTTTGTGCATATTGTAGGGACGCATGTAGGGAACGCAAAACCATGTTTCATTTTCGCTGAACGGTTATAGCAGTACCAAAAAAGAAGCATAAGGTACTGTTAAGGGTTCGATCCCCGTGGCGACTAAATTTTGCATTTGGGTTGGCGCCTACGGTTTGGTGCCAAATCGCGCTAAATATCAAAATCAGATGTCAAATTCATCGTCAGGACCATTTTGAAGCCAACAAGTGGCCGCCAACCTTGATTGCAAAATTTAGTCGCCGCGGGGGATCGAACCATCAAGAGTATTATTCACCACTTTTTTGGTACTACTAAAACCGTTCAGCGAAAACGAAACATGGTTTTGTGGTCCATACATGCGTCCCTACAACATGTACTAAACCGTTTCCAAAAAGCGCACCTTGCCCTGAAAGACCTCCCTTGTTAGTGCTCACTTTCAAGCTGTATAAAAGGCACATCGATAATCCTTGTAAACAGCCATATCCTGCCAACGAATGGATTAACACCATGATCTAGTCCTGGAACTTGCTTAGAGGACCTTTATCGCTGCTGCAAGCGCATGAGTTTTTTTGAAAGATTTTAGTTGGTTTAAAAATTGCTATCACATCTTGAACTCCGCCAAGAACCCCTTCGAATGAATGGGAATTTGACATGGAACGATATAAAATACAAAAGCTTTCGGCAAAAGGCAAAGGATAGGGATAAAGCATTTGCCGTTGATCAATCCCTTTTGGGATGCGGCACGCATTCTACTTCCATTTGTACATTCGTAGTGGCGTTTGAATGCGATGTGGCCTATACAATGACGGGGGCCAGCCGATGTACAAGTCAGTGTTTTTATCCTCCCAGACAAGTCTGGTACCAATTAACCGACCCCGGAGGGATGGAAGGCTTGGTTGGCCCGGGCGACTCACGACCCAGGATTTGCTCGCGTGGTAAGCGTGCCACTTGCCACTACACCACTTCCGCTCAGGCGAAGGAATACTGCCAAAAAAAGAAAGAATTGGCATCTGTGTCTATAAATCCCTTGTTGGAATGATGTCATCTTTTATGAATGACCTTTCCGCATCGCATGAAGCAGTTGGCTGCGCTCCTGAATCTCTTATGGTTTTCAATCTTTAGAGTTCTTAATAATGGCTTATACAAACGTCCTTTAACATTGGCTGCGCCAAACTCTGTTGACATTTTGTGCAATATACTCAGAGCCTGAATGAGATCTGTTACAGGTGGCTGGAATCGAATTGCCCTTCGACTCGTGTAATGTCGCTCGTACTCGCTCGTTGAACCCACGGGGTGTTCGTCACCACAACTGTTGTGGTCTCATTTCCATCTCAGTTTGTGACCAAAGTGACGGTGTGAGTGACTACTCGTGGGTAAGAAACACATGTACTGGGGCGATTGCCAACTGACCTCGGCTGAGGTTGATCTTATACAAAATAGATCAACTTGGTTCCAATCTTCGTCAATTGATCGTTTTGCCTCCATGGGTTTTGGGTCAGGTGGGAATGCTTTTCAGTACGAGGATGGGTTCGATGTCGAAATGTGCTGCACTGATACTCGGCATACTGCTGTCGTGCTGCTCACTCACAGGCAAAGCTCACGTGGCATGTGCGGTCTAAGTTGTGAATAATTCAGAGCCTACCGAATCCAGTGCTTCTACATGGAGGCTGACAAGACCGTATCCACCCAAATCGAAGTCTCTGATCTTACCACAGCTTTCCAGACTCAGGTACTGTCAAAATATAGAACGTGTTATGCTCCGAGTCCATGCACTACTTCATACTTGATATATGCAGATTGTCCCCATGCCCGTCTGTAAGTACGAGATTCTCAACGGCGGTCCCACTGGAGAACCCGTGCAATTCGCCACAATTGGACAACAGGTGGGCACAGTCATTTTTGACTGATAATCCACGATTCCTGTAATAGCTTCTACGGTACCAGTTCAGGTTTACCACAAATGGACTTGCGACTCTGAAACTATTGACACCTTCTGCGCTGTCGTGCATACATGCACGGTTGATGACGGAAATGGCGATACTGTCCAGGTTTGCGGACTCTATGGATTTTTAAGGATCAGCATCTTCACGGAAATCGTGTAATTTGATTCCTTTCAGATTCTCGACGAAAATGGTTGCGCTCTTGACAAATTCTTGTTGAACAATCTTGAATACCCAACTGATCTGATGGCTGGACAGGTTGGTAAATTAATCCCAAAATTTATATGTCTTTCAGGACGTCCTGACATCAGAAGCAACTTTTCAACTATCAGGACAAGTTCAGCAGTGCTTAGGATTCCTCCTACAAGTTTTTGACCTCGTAAAGCGCGATCGAAATCCACCGTACCTTAACCGGATCGCTCAACCTCGATCATCCTCTGCTGGGGCCACTTTCCAATCTTTGTTGATGTTCTAAACACTCTTAATTGATTTTAGGAAGCTCACGTTTATAAGTACGCCGATCGTAGTCAGCTATTCTACCAATGCCAAATCAGCATCTCCATCAAGGTAAGGAAGCTGTTCACAACTTGTACTTGTTCGTACCTCGAGTCGCACATTGATCTTAGAGTTTCATCTCCACGCGTTCTACATTAGGGTTACGGGTAGCGATTCAATTGGTGTGTTAATTTGTTTGAAACTAGGGTAAGATGTGTTAAGAGGAATGTCAGTGGGAAAAAAAGCAGAAAGCGCCACAGCTAACACTGGAATTTCAAGTTCCCCTTGCGAGGTCAAAGGAGGTGAGCGCGGGGAGAGGGGGAGCATGTGGTAGACGTTATTACTGATCAGCTCTTTATTGCGCACTTTCGCAGTAACACCAGCCGTGTGATGAGGGACGCTAGCATGAGGTGGTAAGGGACAGTGAGGGACCAATCGCGACCTGCCTTTGAATCAAGCAACCTTCTTGATAACGAATCAACTCCCCTTCACCTTGAGTTCAGTATTATGGAAACCGATTTTGAAACTGATGACTTAGAAAGTGCCGGGATGTTGCCCTCAGACAAAAGTAGAACGGTGTAGTACCGTGCAACAAAGACAATAAATCAGTGGTCGAACTACGTCATGCTTAAATTTCACAGGAGGACCCTTTGCTATGAGATGTAAGGGAAGGTAAGGTTAGCCAAGGGTGACACTTTGTGCACCTTTGGTAGCAAGAGATACGAGAGATTTCAAGATCAAGGCATGTAAGGAAAGGCCGATGTCAGACTTTTGAATCGAACGATTCGCTAGCGTCCGCGGTCGCGTTGCGGTACCAGCCAATTGAGTGATTCACTGGCCGCGACGCGACCGCAGACGCTAGCGAATCGCTCGATTCGCAAAGCCTGACATTGACCTGATAGGGGTACCGCTAGCTGCCTTACTGTTCACGGAAGCAAGAACGTAACCGTGCGCACCACACTTCGGATATACTTCAAGGAATAGGGAATGGCCAATGAAGTCTAAGATAAAGAAGGTTAAAGGATAAAAAGGATAAAGCATTTGCCGTTGATCAATCCCTTTTTGGGATGCGGCACGCATTCTACTTCCATTTGTACATTCGTAGTGGCGTTTGAATGCGATGTGGCCTATACAATGACTTGCGGGGCCAGCCGATGTACAAGTCAGTGTTTTTATCCTCCCAGACAAGTCTGGTACCAATTAACCGACCCCGGAGGGATGGAAGGCTTGGTTGGCCCGGGCGACTCACGACCCAGGATTTGATCCCCGGACCGCTCGCGTGGTGAGCGCGCCACTTGTCACTACACCACTTCCGCCCTTCTGAGGAAAGGACTACTGCAAAAAATTTGCACCATTGACTTCTTGATTCCTATTGGCGACCTATGTGCTATTTGGTGTAATGACTTTAATTCCCTTTGAATGACCTTTTTCGATTTCAGTAAAATTACCCACTTGATACTCCATAGGAGCTAAAAAATATCCTCGTATCTGTACTCGTTTTGAGCAATAATCCAAACGAGCAATAATTCAAAGGAGCAGTCGTTTAGGAGCCCAACGCTGAGTGTGCTCGTCCACAATGTGCAGAGCCAAAAGCATTCGGAGCAGTTAAGCAAGAACAACAGGCGCAGTTCTTCCGCGTGCTGAAGAAACGGTCGACCATCACAGCCCTCGAGAACGTTATGGATGTTCGCGCGGAAATCACCGCTCTTGAAGTGCTCGATGGAGAGGTTGGTGATGAGCGTAATTTTGAAATCACAACAGTCCACGGGATACTCCCTTTTTCGTCATTCCTTAGGAAATTTCTGAGCTAAAAGACGTTAGCTGCAGTGCACCCCTGCTGAGCGCTTATTTTGTAGAGCTTCTAGCAACCCTTTCAAGGAAGCGTATATGATAAATTCTACCATGGTCGCAGAGCCTGGGTCAACCATAGGTTGGACAGTGGGGGTCGCATTCGACCGATACTTGGGGGGGGGGTCGTAAAATTTTCGAAGATTGTCCAACGTGACGGTCGACCCTGCGCAGAGCTCCTATCAGGATACTACTAGCTAATCTGGTACAAGGAGGAGTGGCCGTTCCTTCGTCGCTATTATCGTTCCCCAAACGTCGGTCTTTGAGGTAGCGGCAGCTTACATCCCGCTCTTAGTTCGTGCCATGGGCTCCAGGTTTCTTTTAGCTCTCTGGGCCACGATATGATCACAAGATGGTTTGTTAGCCGTAGGGAACTCGGAATGATTATGTGAATAAGATCTTCCCATAAAGATCAGCATGGGTTGGTTTCACTTATCTCAAGCACCAGTACTTCTTAGAACTCCGAAATCCTTCAGTGTTCTTGTAGATTTAAATGTGAATTATGCTTCAAGGAAGATATTTAGCTGCCAGCATTGCCACAAGCTGCCCGCCTCACTGCCGACCCCACCCTGATCAGTCTCCCGTCGGAAGGAGTCTGTATGTCGCTGCATGTGATGTCCGTGATGGTCTCCGGTCTCGTGTTCCTCATGATCCTCGCCGTCGTCTGCACAGCGCTCTGTCTCAGAGTGAAGAAGTATTGAGCGTCTGTAGGAAAGCATTTTTAGTAATTTATTGATCAAATAATTATATGCTTCAAGCATGTTTGCGTTCACTCATGACCTCGTTGTGCAATCAACAATAAATCTAATTTATTCTCTCTACTGTGACACGCACGAAATGTCCGATGAATGGAAAAGTGTTAGAGGAAAGGCTCACGACATCTGGAAGCTTCTCAAGTGGGAGCGTTCAGCACACAAAAATGCATTTGAGCGGGGTGCGGGGTACAGGGTACAGGAAAAGGCAGGGTGCGTAAACGTCCTGACCGCTTATCACGCTGACGACAGCGTGACGCGGTAACGCGTCCCACCCAAGTCATCCCTTTTTCTTGCGCTTGCGCGACTTATTCCTAAGGTCTTTGTACTCATTCTATAGGCCATACATTAGCATACTTAAAAACCACATGGCTCACAGAAAGGCCAAATATTCTTTAGTTTGGCAGAGTTTTCCAGACCTTACGGATGTCTGTTCAGTTCATTCCTCGTTTTCTTTTCATTAACGTAAACATGTTGATAAAAAGGAATAATAGAAGCGAATACAAACCTATTCGTATGGGAAGATATGTGTTTTTACTGAAACAACCACGTCCAAATTAATTTTGGAACCACTAAAGGGAAAGTAAGTAAAATTTGCCTTTTCATGGCCTTAACATTTCGGTCGAACTTCCATTACTGTAACTCCCGATAAGTTAGACAGATCGAACATTATTGAAAACACTTCATCGCATCTAAGTATTGCGTATTTACAGCTCAAAATCCATGGATTTGGTGTGCGGCGGCGGCGCTCGCAAAATCGCTCTGGTCCCACGCGGTGCAAAAACCTAAAACGGCGATAAGAATTTTGTGTGGTTTGATCGAGTGAAAGAAACCATCTTTGAAAGACATATACTCACACGTACTCGATTTCTTCTTCTTCAGCTTGTGCACATAACCGAGAACAGCGGTAAGTCTACGTGCTGGTAGTCATCGTCTGATTACGCTCTCTTGGTGGAGCCTGTGGATTTTGTTGTAAAACACTGTTATTTCTGAACGTATAGGCCCCTTGACAAAGCCCTGCTATACCAATTATATAAACATAGCATTAGCATAAATTATATTAAGTTTTCACTAGAGCTCTTAAATAGAAACTGAATTTTCTCAAAAATGAAGTTGTTCTTTTCCCGTCATGGCTGGTGTTTTTTTAGGTTCATAGTATAACCTGCGGCTCTAGCTTTTCGTTGTAGCGCGCCTTTCGAGCGCATTCAATAAATAAATAAATAAAAATAAACACGGCCATGCTGAGTTCTTTCATTATCAGTGTCAAAGGCGTCCGTATCATTTTTAGAAGTTTATTAGGGTTAGTTTGTTGATCACCTTCATAACAGAAAGGCCGAACTGCTATGTTTATTTTATTGATATAGCAGAGCTTTGTCAAGCGGTCAATACTTTTGTTTCACCTTGATTACTAGAAGTGCCTTACACCGTAGGTAGTTGTGAGCATGACAACTTCGGAACTCTCTTGTACAGATTTTTTAGAAGTCCAACACCACGAAGAAATTTACTTTAACAAAAACTAACCACCTTCTCTACAATTCGTATGAGATGTGCTCCACACTGTTCTAGCGGGAGGAAAATGAGCTCAAATCGCTTAAAATTGTCATCTTCAAAGTGCCTGCTCTGAATTCGTTGACATACAGTAGCGGTCAAAAGTTTGGAAACTTTTTTATTTTTGATCTAGCGCGGCCGATACACAACGAAATTGTCCCAAATTTAGATATTACATACAAAATCAAGTTCAGAATACGACGGGAAGAATAATTTCCAAAAACCTATAATCATATTTGAGAAATAAGATTTTTTTCAAGTAATGGCGCGTCAAAAGTTTGGAAACTTTTTGTTTCCCTTATCATTATGATTCCTACTCTTCAATGTTTACTTGTTTCTGTTAATTTTAGTTCAACCATTGAGCAATGTGTAATTTCAAAATGAATTCATATGCAAAGGAAGCAGTTTTTCCATGGGGGTCCTTTTTTAAACCCTACAATCCGGAATACGAAATTGAAACTGTTTCTTAGTAGTTCAGTCTCTACGGAAGCAATATTATCGAATGTTTCTAGCGTTATTGGAGTCGAGTAAGCATAAGAAGAATGATCATTCACAAAAAAGTATCTCACAAGAAAATTGGCCCTCCTCAAATACTTCGAAGGGTGGTTGGCACGTCCCGTGCCCCCGACATTCCCAACTAAGAGACAACTTTTTCTGGTTTTTTCCTAATCATATGAAAGTCCAAGTGCAGCCCAACATCGGCCGCGACCTGGTGAATATTACGGATGATGTCCCAACAAGAAGCCATTGTTGGGCTTCAAGAGCAGGATGGCCCAACTGGCTTCCGCACACTAACGGCTAACATGGACCGAAGCGAGAGGTGAAACTTTGTCCTCAGCGACGAATGAGATTTCTATCTTCCTAGAAATAATGTTGTGGACCCTGTGAAGTGTTTTGTCAAATGGGAACCTCATTTTGAGTATGAGATTCCAACAGTCAGAAATAGTGGAAGTATTGTCATGGATGAAGATGTGTCCGACCATTCGGCGATTCCCAGTTCTAGGTATCCAGCGAAATGTGGGTTGGGCTAAGTACAAGATAGTCTGTAGAATACAATGCTTCCTTCGATAGTCAGAACTAGCCGGAAAAGATGGGTTTTCTATCACGGAAATGACCCAATGCAGGCCTACCTCCTCACTGCCGCCTTTC